GCTGACAAGGAAACCTGGTGGACCAGTCGGGCTCAAGAAATGGAAGAAGCAGGAGCAGTAGGCAATTACCGGAAGCTCTTCCAGCTAATACGCACCACTGGTCCGAGGAAACCAGGCGTCAGTGAGACAATCAGGGACAGCGCGGGTGCCCTGATACACTTTAAGGAGCGGCGTATGGCTCGTTGGGCTGAGCACTTTGAACATCAGTTCAGCTGGTCCCCTGCTCCCGGACCTCTTCCTACTCAGGTGATGCAGGACGAGCCATGGACGGTTAGTTGAGAGCCTCCGTCGGAGGCCGAGGTCCGAAACGCGATCACAGCCCTCAATCGTTTTCGTGCCGCTGGCCCGGATTCCCTACCACCTGCACTATTTAAGGATGGAGGTGAGGTCCTCTGCAAAGCACTGACCTCCCTATTCGAACGTATCTGGAACGAAGAGAGTGTGCCGGCTAAGTGGAGCGAATCGATTATAGTGGCAATATACAAGAAGGGCAGTCGCACAGACTGTGCGAACCACAGGGGTATTAGCCTAACGCCAGTTGTGACAAAATTACTGACCTCGATTCTCGTTCGTCGCCTCATTGCAGAGCGGGAATCTCGGATCAGAGAAGAGCAGGCCGGTTTTCGCCCAGGACGTGGCTGTATAGACCATATATTTACTTTGCGGCAGGTGCTAGAGCAGCGCCACGCATACCGCAGACCGACAATAGCTGTGTTCCTCGATTTCAAGAGTGCGTTCGATTCAGTCGATCGATCGATTCCGTTCGAAATACTTTCGCAGAAAGGTGTTCCCACGAAATATGTGAACATCCTTCGTGCTCTATACTCGAACACTAGAGGCTGCGTCTGGGTCTATGGTGCCCTATCGGATAGCTTTTCGACTACAAGTGGAGTTCGACAGGGTTGCCCGATTTCCCCGTTTTTGTTCAATTTCGTCGTGGATTCTATCATGGAGTGTTCCCTTGTGGAATCTCACGATGTAGGTGTTGAAGTGCTGCCTGGTGAACGGTTAGTTGATCTAGATTATGCGGACGATATCGTCTTGCTTTTCGACAATGTTGAGGCGGCACAATCAACCCTGAATAGCCTGTCCAGAGTGGTCCCATTATTTGGTATGCACTTCGCACCTTCAAAGTGCAAAGTGTTGCTGCATGACCACCAGCCACTCGATGACCCCTTGACGCTTGCTAACGAGGAACTCGATGTGGTTGATCAATTCACTTATCTTGGCAGCTGTATCAGCAATGATGGGCGCATAGAAACTGAGGTCAGCTCACGCATTGCAAAGGCCAGAGCTGCGTTCTTGAACCTGGGTCATCTTTGGCGACAGATGGGAGTTTCCCTCCGTCTGAAAGGCCGTGTATACAAGGCCACAGTGAGGGCCGTTCTGCTCTATGGTAGTGAAACTTGGCCCCTTCGGTCTGAAGATCTGAGGCGCCTTCAAGTCTTTGATCATCGTTGTTTGCGAAGCATTGCTGGTGTCGGATGGCACCAGCGTGTCCGCAACGATGATGTGCGTAGGCGAGTACTAGGTGGTGATGATCATGCTAGCACCCTAGAACAACAGATAGCACTGAATAAGTTACGTTGGCTCGGGCACGTGCTACGCATGCCTGGTCACCGCTTACCTAGGGGGGCCTTGTTCAGTCTACCAGGTGTCGGATGGCGCAAGGCTCGAGGTGGACAGAAGTTGACTTGGCAACGGGAAATGAAGTCACTGACGACCAAACTGGGTGCCGTTGGTCCGTCTCGCCTTCCGGGCTGGAGTCCACGTGACTCACCTTGTGCTTGTCTCGAGACTTTACAGGACATGGCTCGCAACCGACACCAGTGGCGCGTCTGCTGCCGTCTCCTAATCGGATTGCCTGTTTAAAGTGTGTTTGGTGCTGAGTTATCTGCGGGGTAATGGCTGATTATGACGCGTGGCAGTGAAAGCCGCAAGGAAGCTGTCTCGCCGATGCCGCCTTATCCTTGCACGATAGCCAGCTGTTTGTGACGGTATGTTGTTAACACAAGGTGTAGGCGCCTTGACCCTGAATGTTTGCTTAGGGCATTAAGGTTTTCAGGTAAGTCCCCCTTCTCTCCCTCCTCTTATTCTTTATTTCATAGGTCCTCATGGTTGTAAGGCAGCGAAGCATCAGTTCAAATGGCTGATGTACTGCTGTTGATGATGATGATGATGATGACACACAAACCGTTCAGAGCGTTTTGGACCGCTTAGCGATGGAGGCGTCTAGGTACTGTTTATGCTTCACTCCGGGAAAATGTAAAACGCTGCTCCAGGACTGGCAGGTGCCTGAACCCGCGCTCATCATTGTTGGACATGTTCTGGAGCAAGTCACTTGCTTTACTTATCTAGGGAGTTGCATCACGGCTGGTGGCGGTGTTGGAGATGAAGTCTCACAACCGATTGCAAAGGCCCGCTTTACATTCATTAAACTGAGACACCTATGGCGTCGTCGTACTGTCAGTCGCAAGCTCAAGGGCAGGGTGTACAATGCTCCCGTCCGTGCAGTACTCTTGTACAGCTGTGAGACTTGGTCTACTTGCTTGGAAGACATGAAGCGGCTGTCAGTCTTCGACAATCGCTGTCTATGAAGGATTTCTCGGGTGTGGTGGCAGCAACACGTAAACAACGCAGTGGTGCGAGACCGAATAGTGACAATCTTCAGGACGTTATTCGCCGACATCGCATGCGTTGGATCGGACACGTGTTGCGCATGCCAACCCATCACCTTCCACGTCGAGCGTTATTTGCACTCCCAGGAAGCGAATGGAAAAAGTGCCGCGGTGACGTGGAGAAGGAGCATGAAGAAGGCAACCTCAAGTTTAGCGGCAGTCGGACCAGTCCGTCATTCAGGTTGGGTACCACGAGATGCTGAATCTCAGTGGCTGGAAACATTGAACGTCATGGCTCGCAACATACATCAGTGGTGTCAACGTTGTTCTGCCATTATATGCACAAAAAGCCCGCAAAAAGAAACCAAAAATTTCAAAATGGCGTGTGTAAAACCAAAAAATCATTTCCATTTTTTATTATCGCAGTTTGTGTTTCTAGCTTCTCCAATTTTTTCTTATGGCATGGTTCTGATGGCACAATGTCTGTTAACAGACTGTGAACATATATATATATATATATATATATATATATATATATACTGATAAAGCAACGTCGGCAGGTTTATTTTGCTCTTGATACATTCGCTTGGGTAAGCAATTAGCTCCTTAACGAGGATATTTGTAAACAATGTGGTGACGTCAAGGGAGAACAGCTGTTTGTTTCACATTTGGAGTGCACAAACTCACACGAGTCCCTCATCCGGTGAGTGGCTAACTCACATCTCGTAGGTTTAAGTAATTCGGCCAACCACTGTGCCAATGTGTGGTACGGTGAGTTGTTCATTTCTAGAATGGATTGAAGAGGTGCCCCAACGTTATGTATCTTGAGTAGCGCATACAGCCTCAGAATCACGGCAACGGCTGGAGAATTCTTTCGAAGTCATCATGTGGCTATGTGTGACGGATGGAAGTAATTGTATACACCGCAACCATCGTATTTATATCGAAGTAACTATTTAAACCAAGCTTTATTTTTCGGAGCAAAACCAACGGCACGCTTTGGGATAACCACTCTGGTTACGTACACCTAATATTCTCACCAAATCGTTGGAAATACGTTAGCTGAGATGATCGGTTTTGACAGTCCCACTAGTTCCTTCAATTACGAATCGATTTCATGTCGCTGATGTCTAAGTCTCTAAGGTATATGAAGTAGAAGGACCTCATAGATTCGAGTCAGCGTTTTTTAAAATGTCTGTGGGACCCGAAGCCGGAAGTCGGGACATCAGCAGCATGCCGGTAAGTAGCACCGACGCTTCACTACCGCGTAATCACAAACGGCCGCACGTAGGCTAAGGATACTGCGAAGGTCGCCCTACACCATACACAGGCTAGAACCCACGCCGTCAGATTACAAGGTAAGCTTGTTACCTTTAGGCTACGGAAGTTGGGAGATCCGATCGAGGCCAAGTTCGAAATGAAGGCCTTCAGTTCCGTTGACTAAGTCATCCGCTGGCTTCTATCCTGTTTCTTCAGCCAAACACTGGTTGAACGAAAACTCACGTTGCGGGAGTCGGTGTGTTGGCATGCGCAATACTTGCTCCCGCCATCAGAGTCTGGTGCGTGAAATAACAGTGTCGAGCAGTTAACTTCCACTCCCTCCGCCCAGAACGAGGCAGTGAATATACCCACTGCTAACGCGGTGTTCCCACCAGATGTGAGCCTAGCTGCGAAGACACCAGTGGTCGAAAACGTAATTAGCCTCTTTACATCTGTCGATATGGTAGACCAGGTATCGCAACCATACAGTAGGCTTGAAGTGACGGCAGCATTGTAGGTTTCCCTCTTCAGGGTGGGTGAGGGTGCGACAGCATCATAAGCGGCATCGATCAACAATAAAAAAGTACATAATTATATTATTATATTATATCATTCAACACTTGACCAATATACAATTGGCAGTGCCACAACACATAGTTAACAACAACAACAATAAAAAGGGGAAAACAGGTAGACAGTGGAAAGGTTTGAAAGGTTTACAAGGTTAATGTGTTGTGCGGGCAGAGATCTTCCCGGTTGCCCAGGCCGAGGAAGAGGGTTGACTTAAGGGACCCCACCCCGAGCTTTTGGTCATAAAGACCTAACCCGCAAGGCAGCGGGACGACTAACGGAGACCGCTGGCATCCGGGTAGCTCATTCACCTTCTTTGTGTTCAAGTAACAGTCCACAGAGAAGCCGGTGGCCAACAAGGTTGTTCATCCACCCTCCGTTAGGTACTCACTTCTGGTTACAGAAGTGAGTGGTCAGTGACCCTATAGCCGGTCACATTGGCTTTGACACAGCGCCGTACGAGCTCTTGTGGTATTTGATGGAGAACCAGGTGACCAGCCCAGAACTCCCCACGCTCTGAGACGCTGCCGCTGATTGTCCGCGACTACTTATTCATCTCGCCTGCAATGCAAAAGAGACTTATTCGCAGTTACCTCCACAAGAAAGGCATCCCCTGATTCGCAACCTGGGGACGCGTCTGATAGAGTGCAGCTCCGCCACAGGACAATTATGGCGACAAGTATAAGTAAAAATGATTCACAAAGCCCACAAGACGACTCACATCAAGGTAAGTAAGTGTATCCAGTTTGGATATACTTTCTTCCGGGAGGGATGAAAGGAGGTTCGAGGCCAGGAGAAGTCGAGTAATCGGTACGGTCTCCCACCAACGAGGCTCGTCAGAGGAACGCTCCAAATCATATCGCTCATCAGAAGGAAGTGGAACATTCAAATCCCAAACGACGTTTGGAACTGCAAAGAGAATTAGTGTGTTAACAGCAAGCATGCATTTAGAAAGTAGGGGGCAAGACTATAAATGCATCCAGCGGTAAAATCAAACTGATTGCCGAATTAGACTGGGACATGGAAATTTCAGATAAGCGTGAACATGGCACAGCCTAGATAGTTGGTTATGAGCCCAACCTTCTTGGTATTGATTAGATCGATCGTTTGGAACTTACCGACATGTCAAACAAAAAATTGCGTTTATCAACATCTACCCAGATCCTGAGGATACTGAACCTATCTGAGACAAATAGAGACGTGTTAACTATTGGAATAAACTTGAACCGACCGGGATTTCATAATTTCAAAAGGTTTTAGTATACAAATCGCCTTGTATTATGACAAGGTTTCACCCTTGACACAAGAGGTTTTTCAGGTCTGGTGAACTAGTATAGACTTAACATGGCTTTTTATGGCAAATTAGAATGATGATAACGAGAAATAACCCGGGGCAGTGGTTAAAACTGGTTACCATTTCAAAGAGTCAAGGGGTCAATGTGGTGATAGCTAGCCTCTTTATGTCTGTCGACCTGATGGGCCACGTTTCACAACCGTATAGGACGGCTGCATTGCAAACCCTGTCCTTCAGAGCAAGAGTGACGTCGTGTCGGCGCTACAAATGGCAGAGATTGGCAAAACCCCCTCCAGGTTTTGCTATACGGTTCGTGACCTCATCTTCAAGCTCACGGGCGCTAATATAACGGCCCAGGTAATTAAATTCGGGGATGACCTCTAGCTGATCACCACTAGGGGTCAACGCAGAGGTGGGCCTTTGCCAATCTTGGAGGACTTTTCATTTCGATGGAGGAAAGCATAACCAAAAACAATTGACAGCCAGTGCTAATCTGTCCAGTGCCGCTTGGGGACGTTTGGGAGCTGTCACATATGAGAGCAATGTCGTCAGTATACTGCAACTCAAGAAATCGTTGACTAGGAAGCAGATCCAGCGAACACTGTTTCCATGACGTCGTCAATGACGAAGTTAAAGAGAAAAGGTGACAACGGGCATTTTTGGCTTACACCGTTGGAGAGATTGAAGGGCGGCGACAGTTTGCCCTAAACGCTTACTCTGCCCGAACTATGCGCGTAAAGCAGTCTTATGACATTTACATATTTCTCGGGCACAACTTTCCTTATCAGATAGTCCAGAAGGGCACAGCGGGAGCATCTTTGATGTCGAGAAGCACTAGGATGTCGTCAAGAAATATGGCCATGCCTCAACAATTGACGTAATGTGTATATGCGGTCGATGCAGTCTCGATTTCGACGAAACCCGGCTTGATCCTCGCGAAGATGGCTTTCACGAGTGTCAGTCAGTCTGTGGAGGAAGACAGACGCAAGAAATTTAGAGGTAATATAGATCAAACTGATCGCTCCGCGACGCCACATTCTGAACGGAGCCTCCTTCGAAAATTAGGAATATGACGGTGCGGCTCCGGCCTGTTGGGACAATTTCCTGCTCCTCAAGTTTCACTAGCAACTCGTGTAAATCATCAACAAGAGTAAGTCCGCTGAATTTGAAGAGGGTTGGTAGAATTCCACCGGCCCGTGCGGCTTTATTCAACTTGGACAGTTTGATCTCATGCTCGATTTCTGAGCATGAGGGCTAATCCACGGAGCCGGGGGGGATATAAAAGTGAAGGTGGAGCGGGACGATAACGATGAAAAAGCGCAAAATGGGAAGTAAGGAGACGGGAAGGTCTGAGTAGTAGCGTCTAAACCCTTAGTTACGGTGCTCGATGCATCAGGTAGGGTGCCATTTATTATATTCTGCGACGGCCAGAACATCAAAGATTGTTTGAAGAGAAAGTCATTGTATATTGTTGCATGGGCATGACACTGTCAGGTTGTCCAGGCCTAAACAAAAGGAGGATTAAGGCTCTCAAACAAAGCGAGGTTTTGACACTGGGCTACACTGAGTCCGCTTTATGGAGTGAGCAGCCACCCACAACCAGGAGGATGAGTTTGTTTGGCCTCCAGCTATTTACTAATCGGACATGAGTGGCTCCGCGGATGCAAGAAGCACCACCCAGCAGAGCTTAATGGATCAATGAGGCACGCAAACCATCGCATCTCGGTAAGGTCTAGCCTCATTGCAATCGACAGCATGAGGGCAATTTTCCCAAGCCGTTAGCGGGCATGTAGATCAGCACGAGGTCTAGAATGTGTGGTGCCTGACCCAAGAGCACTCGTTTTGGTGTTAAGGCATGCGAGTTAAGTTACATCAGAAGACGGTGTCCAGGAGATCAGCTTCAGAGGACTCCGGGACGTGATCACTGAAGGTCTCCGTTGATGTCGAGGGTGTTAAACAAACCCATGAGCAGATAGTTGGTGCATCTGTCATGTATCCTCACTGAGGATAATGAGCAGGAGTCAAATCCCGATTGACTCTTTGGAGAACGTTGATCATCAGCAATCGGCAGCCGCTGTGAATTCGATACCGGAGCATTTCTGACGCTGCACGGTTGTCGTAATCAGCTTCGACAACATGGACCTTGAGATTTGCCATCTAGTAGACCATTTTACCGTCAGAGAGACCATATCGTGAAGAAGACGATACTCTGGAGCATGAGATTCTGAGTCCGAAATTTCAGAGAACCTCATTAGGTCAAGTTGCTGTCTGAAAATAAGAGCTTGTGTCTCATCTAGTTGGTTTCTAAAGTTGCACAAGTTCGCAAATATTACTCGTACTCCGTTCTTTATGATGAGGGTTTAAGGAAAAGAAGGAATGGTCTCTATGGAGCTGTTTTTCACACACACGGCACAGAAATCCAAAAGGTAACGATCGGTTTCCTCGTGCACTCAGTTAGTTCGCAGATCGGTAAGAACTTGTCTTCCTGAGTCGGTCCTCTAGGGAAAGATTGTTCAGAACGTCGAATAGTATGGAGAATATCCGCCTAAAGGTTTTGTCATCAAGTATGCTCTCTTTCTCAAAGCAAGAATGTGCTTTTATGCACCCATGATGATTGAATATACAGTCGTAACACACATGCTATCGACATGGTGAAAAGTAATTGCCTAGAGGCAGAACAACAGCAGAGAAAAAGAGCACAAGGAAAAACATAACATTACTGGCAGAGTTTATTGGTCGCTTCTTGGATAATAATGTTTTAATCCAATAGAAGTCTGAGTAGATAAGAGGTTTGTAGTGTACAAGTAGCGTTTGGTTAGCTCTTAGGAGCTTGCCCTTTCTGCAAGCGGTTGTTTCAGTTGTGTTACTATGCCTACAACGAGTATTAGCTTTACGCTTGTAGTGTTTGATTTCCCGCTGGGCTTTGAAGTCTTCCTCTTAGGGCATTATTTGTAGCCGGGATTATACTAGTTGTTGCTGGCGACATTGTTCTTACGCGTAGCGGTAAGCATATTTTGTCATCGCTTGGCGGCATAGGTCCTACCGAGCAGGTACAGGAGGTCCAGCTTCGCTTTCCTCTGAATGTGGCAAATCCAGATTCCAAATCCGACAAAACAACTCAGTTTGCTTATAACGCACTGAAGAAGTCACCACGTTTGGTGATAAAACGTTTTCAACGAAACTGTTCAGCTCGAAGAACAGAACAAAATCTGAACAGATCACCCGAGCTACAAGTATTCCGATTTATTGCTGGAAATGTGACTGCTCTCCAGTGTGAAACAAGGACAGAGCGGAAGCAGCATGTGGACTGAGCGGACGAAGTTTCACCAAAAGACGCTTGTCATTATCCATTGGTCGACACGGGTCACAATGAGAACTGATGATTTGGGATGCATAGTGAGCTGAAAACATTCGCAGAGCAGAGCTACAACAGGTTATGTACACCTAGCCGTCACAGAGAACGCATTGTACGATCATTGGTGGGGAAGAAACGCATTTCACAAAATCCAGGCAATCAGATGTTAGTATTAAGAAGTTGGACATTAGGTAAAATATGAATGAATTCGTTCTAACACACCAGTGGTGATTTAAGTGGTACCGGATCAATACAGAAACGTCGATTACGATATCTTATGGAAAATTTTTTAGATACTAATCTCAAGCGCGACTATTGATAACAAAACCGTGGAAGACAACATAAACACCCCGTTGTTGGCAGGTACAAAAGTAATCAGTTTAGAAATAAAGATGTAATCGCTAGTTGTGAGAAAGCAAACCTGAAATATTTTGTCAGCAGAGACAAATGAGCTTGGGCCTACACAGATTACGTAATGAGTGTTATCCCCTTGGACAGAAATAGAACGTACCAGTCACCAGAGAACGATTAGAAAGATTAAGTGAACCAGATTGCTGAGCTTGACGAAGTAGTGTGATATGGACGCTGTTTTGACCAGTGACGAGGGCTCCACCAGACGAAGGACAATGACCGCGCATTACGCCAGGTTAAATCAGGTTTCAGGGATGACACAGGCTTTTGCTTCTTGCACTGGCAAGCGAAGAAGTTTCTACAAAAGAATTAAGAACGAGAAAAATCAATGCACTTTCATGGATAAACAGCGGATTCCATTAGACGAGGTCTTGTAGCGCCCCAAAAAATTACTACTATTTTTAGGTGCAATTTCATTGCTGACCAAGTGTACATTAATAGTTCTTGTTGTAGTCTCCCTTACATCCGGCTCGACTCTGGTCTGCTCAGTAAGTTGCCGTGCTAACGTCCACTCCCTTCTCGCTTCATCGGTCCATGTCTTTTGTAGCCCTTCGTGTATAGTCCGCAGTGTCCGACTTCACTTGCCTGCTGATATCCGCGCTCGATTACGCGTATAATATCGGACTAGCACTTACTAGTCCTACAGTCTCGCTGTTACAACAGCTCGGGGAAACAATCCGACCAAGAGCATAGTTTAGCCTCCCTTCAGAAGTCATTACAGATTCATAGAACATTAGAAGGAAGTTTATTCTAGACATCTAGGACCCAGTTAGTAACAAAGCACACCTCAATATCCAGCTCAACCTACTGTTGCTTGAGCTTCAAACGACGTAAGGATCCGGGGATTTCCCCGTTCGATTGTCGTATGTGTAAAATATTACAAAATTATAGTTTCATTTTGTACTCAGGATAAGTAGACAGTTTGCCTATCGCATATTGATTAAATCTGTTTATAAACATCAAAATCCGGAATGCAACCCGAACGATGCCTTCGACGTTCCTGGAATCTTTTTTTCCTCGGGTGACCGTCAGCTTAGCCAAACGTATACCTCATCCTATACTTGCCCTCTTACTTTTGTTTACAACACTCGGTTGATTGTGTGAATATAGTGTTCGACTATAGATTGCGCTATAGTGTCCACGCAGGCGATCCGACGCAGCTATGGCAAAAAACATTGGATAGTAGAGAGCAGAAAGGAGATCTTTTGTCAGCTCCATCACTTCCCGTTCATAACAAGGATGAGTTGGTTATCATGAAACGGAGCTCCACATATGGCCGTCAAAGTCGCAATGGAGGAAACAAGATTCCGGCATATTCAGTACGGAAGAAGCCAACATTGCTTTGTAACATTCTTCCGATTGTGCGTCAACAACAAGCTCCGGCAAGCGGTACTAGTCATTCACCACAAGGGTGGATACAGCAAGAATGGTCCGCACTCGGAGCCTCCTAGATTTGAATAATTTCCATATCTGACTTCTAGTCGAAGTTCCAGCGCTGAGCTAAAAGAACACATGCAGCTCTTTCCTAAGGATACGTCTAGTGAAAATTAAATCTCCGCGGTGGCGGCGGTAATCCAGTGAGAAGAGATTCTAGTGTTAGAGTGAGAAGGGATAGGGTAGGTCACGCAACTCAAAAACAGATTTAAAACCACGTTGTTGGACCCCATAAATCATGTCACATGCAAAGTTAACAAGAGGATAGAAGAAAGGAAAACTGTATTCAAGGATCGAACGTACGTGTAATGTGAACAGAAGTCGGAAGAGAACTGGGGTCAGGCACCAGAAGCTTCCTCATATGGTACGGAGCGTTTCGTAGACAGCGGCGACTCTCTTCAAGGTATGCAGAGTTGATTCTAGACCGGGAGACAGGAGTATGCCTAGTTCTCTCTCTTGAGTGGCATTTTTGAGCAAAGAACCGCCAATATGGAAGGCCCCGAATGGTTCAGACGAGGAAATAGGTAGAATAGTACACTTGTCTCGGTTAACAGGCAATCGCTAATGGATCGAAAAACAGTGCAGAAGAGCAAGCGTCTCTTGTAGTCGATCAGCATTCTCTAAGCTAGAGACCTCCATCCACAGCTTTCGGATCAGCTACGTATATTCGGCAATCCGACTGTAAAACGGACGGCAGATCGTTAATGGAGATGTTGAAGAGCTCGAAGCCGAGGACAAAGCCATGTGAGACACCACTGGTCGAGTACAGAATCAGAAAGCGTTTCATTCAGTTTTACTTGAACAGATCGATCGATCAGGAAATCAGACATAAAAGATAAAAAAGGGCTTAACTCCGAACGGACTGACAACTGTGTCTGCTGCAACTGTGCGCGGAAGCCCAGTTATTACTTAGTGGCATAGCTTTTAGACAGTGGGCGCCGAAGTGCCACTTGGCGTCCTCCTGTAGTTGGCCAGCAATGGATCCAAATTGACCACATGGCCGTAAGTTACGGGTGGCGTGGTTCCATCCTGGATTGCCGCACGTACTAGAGTACCTGCGTCGACTCTGATCATGCCTTCGTACGCCTAGTTATGCGGACGATATCGTGTTGCTTTTCGACGATGTTGTGGTGGTGCTATCAACCCTGAATAGCCTGTCTAGAGTGGCCCCATTATTTGGTATGCACTTCGCACCTTCAAAATGTAAAGTGTTGCTGCAGGAACACCAGTCATTTTATGACCTCTTGACCCTTACTGACGAGGAACTCGAGGTGGTTGATCAATTCACTTATTTTGGCAGCAACATCAGCAACGATGGGCGCACAGAAACTGACGTCAGCTCATGCACAGCAAATGTTAGAGCTGTCTTCTTGAATCTGCGGCATTTTGGCGACAGAAGAGCGTTTCCCTCCGTCTGAAAGACCGTGTATACAAGGCCACAATGAGGGCCGTTCTGCTCTATAGCAGCGAGACTTGGCCCCTTCGATCTGAAGCGCCTTCAAGTCTTTGATCATCGTTGTTTGCGAAGCATTGCTGGTGTTGGATGGCACCAGCACGTTCGCAACGATGATGTACGTAGGCGAGTATTAGGTAGTGATAATCGTGCTAGCTCCCTAGAACAACAGATTGTACTGAATAAGTTGCGGTGGCTTAAGCACGTACTGCATGTGCCTTGTCACCGCTTACCTAGGAGGGCCTTGTTTAGTCTGCCAGGTGTAGGGTGGCGCATCATCAACATCATCATTATACACATCAGCTAGAGGTGGGAAAACACCTCCGCTATTGTGCCGCAAGGCTCGAGGTGAAGAGAAATTTACTCGGTAACGGGAAATGAAGTTACAGACGACCAAACTGGGTGCTGTTAGTCCGTCTCGTCTTCCGGGCTGGAGTCCATGTGACTCGCCTCGTGCTTGGCTCGAGACTTTACAGCACGTGGCTCGCAACCGACACCACTGGCGCGTTTGCTACCGTCTTCTAGTCGGATTGCTTGTTTAAAGTGTGTTTGGTATTGTTATCTATGGCGTAATGGCTGATTAAGACGCGGGGCAGTGAAAGTTGCAAGGAAGCTGTCTCGCTGATGCCGCCTTATTTTTTCACGATAACCACCTGTTTGTGACGGTAAATTGTTAACATAAGATGTAGGCGCCTTGACTCCGAATGTTTGCTTAAGGAATTAAGGTTTCCAGGCAAGTCCCCTTTCCCTCTTATTCTTTATTACCTAGGTCATCATGGCTGTATGGCAGCGAATCATCAGTTCAAATAGCTGATGTACTGTTGTTGTTGTTGTTATTAAGAATGGAGATACCCAGCGACGCCGATGCCTCGAAGTCCGGATAGGAGCCGCTCATGAGGGACCTGGTCAAAAGCTTTGCTAAGGTCGACAAATGAAATCCAAGCGTTTCCTTAGATGTGGCGATTGAAACCACTCCTTCTTGGCAACCAGCTAGTTCGAGGTGCGTGAGCGAGTCCTTCGAAAACCATGCTGGGCACAAGCGATGAAATCTGGCTCGTCAACGCGAAGGTGAAGGGCAAGTTTCAGAATCCTTTCCATGACTTTACATAAAACCGATGTCAAACAAATCGGACAGTAACGAGCTGGACCCTGACGGCTCCCTCCTTGTATATGGGCTTGGCAATGCTCACCTTAAAGGCACTCGGAAGAGGTCCAGTTTCGAGGGAACGACAAAAGACCTGAGAAACAGGAGCGGAAATGTGTTCGGGCAGTTTTAACAAGAAGAAAAGAAAGGCATCAGCAGTGTGCCGGTACGGAGTACCGACGCTTCGCTGCCATGGAACTACCAGCAGTCGCACGTGGGCTAAGGATACTGAGAGGGTCACCCTGCCGCTACGCAGGCTCGAACACGCGCAGTCAGATAACAAGACAAGCACGTAAGCTTTAGGTTACGGGTCGGGGCCACAGCTTCTAGGAATATGGGGTGTAGGCCATCAGGACCATTATCAAGATCATTATACATGTTAGCTAGAGGTGGAAAACACCTCAGCTACTCTGCTGCAATACATAAAAGGAAAAGAAATAATGCACCAGATGTATGACAGCTGAGCCACCAGTAACGGATGGGCATCGTAACGGAAAGCTACCAGCCGGCAACTACGCAGCAAAAAATTATTGCGAAAAAACCCATCAGGACCAGACGAGGAAAACGGACCTAAGTGAAGCAGAGTTAGGTTCGACGCCACTGAGGCTGTTCAATATTAGAAATGTCTCTACCAGATTGCGTCTCAATCTACGCCGTTCTAAAGAAAACAAACCTAAGCACCTTAGACGATCTTCTTACGACTTCCCACATTGATCTGCAATCATACTGGTTGCCATTTTTCGAATCTTTTCTGTACAAATATCAATACGGCGCCAATATGGACTTTGAAGTATGCCTCCTAGTAGAAGACCATTCCACCGTCAGAGCTCCCGCCAGAGATATCATATCGAGAAGGAGACGATACTGTGGAACATGAACCGCAGAGAACCGTTCGCTCGGTTGGTTCGCAGGTGGGTAGGAACTTGTCTTTTTGACTCGGTCCTCCGTAGCCGGCGCTATGCTTTCATTCACCACTGCCACAGAGGTCTTATACTTAAGCACATTGCTACTATCCGCAGGAGTCAGAGGCCACGATAACGACGAGGAGGGAACACGACTTCGATTAAGTTCAAGTGGGATCGGAATAGTAGGAGAATCCCGTGATTGTTCCACCTTGTACAACGTCGTTGAAATGTGTGGAGCAATCTGCAAAGTGGAGCCAAATCAACACACACGATACACTCTAGGGTGAACTA